TGCGTGAGGTGTGGTGATGCGGTTCTGTGTGCGCCTGCTAAGTGAAATCAGGGTTAATTACTGTTGCTCGCTCAGGTGAGACGGGGGAATCTGAAGCTGCTCATATGACAGCATCCAGCCTGTAGCTCTATGTCTCTGTCCCAGACGTGCTCAGTGATGCATAGAAAGCCTCTCACCCCACACTGTTGGCCAGCTCAGCGCAGTATGAGCCTTTTTCTAAATTCGGGTACAAACTAGCAGCTGTTGTGAACATTGTGTTTATAAATGTGCCCTTTGACCCATAACTTGCACAGTAATAATCTTTTGCCTTAATGCGCAGCATCATTAGAACAGAAAAGAAAAGATGAGTAATTTAATATAATCTGTGTTAATCTGGACTAAATGTTTGCTGTAATTACCTCGTTTAGAAAAACATTTTGATCCAATATTTGATTTGTCTTGTATTTACTGTTGCTAATGCAGCATTCATGCAATATCATTGGTTCCAAAATGAAGACTTTTCCACACCCGGCAGAGCGTACTTCCACTGCCTAGGAGGCTTTCTGCATGCTGGGACCCTTTGAGCTGCACCTGGGGATAGTGAAATTAATTTGCTTCAATACAGTTTATTTCTATAGCACCAATTCACAACACATGTCATCTCAATGCACTTTACAGTTCACCAGATCACCCAGTCAGATTGATTCAAAGTTTTCTATCTAAGGAAAACCTGTTGATTGCATCGACTCATTGACTCAGAATCACACTAAGCATGATTGTAGGGACAGTGCAGAGGAAAAACTCCCTTTTAACAGGAAGAAACCTCCAGCAGAACCAGGCTCAGTGTGAGCGGCCATCTAGCCATTAGCATTGCGAACATCTGTGCAGATAAATGCAGTTTGAAAAAAATAGTGTTGAGTTGCTTTATACAGTAGCCCAACAAAACCTTGTTTTTGCTTAGAAAACATGCAAATTGAAAAGGATTAACGGGTCCGCCCCTTAGGAATGGGGGTCGTTTGGCTTCTTTTGTCAGCCTGCAATGCCCCATACCTGTCTCTGGCAAGTATGGGGCATTGCAGTTTGAAACAAGCTACAGTCAATTATTTTTTTTTTTACTTATTTTTAAAACTTGTTTTAAACGTATTAACTTTACCATTTCAACCAAATGTAAACATCATTTGAACATAAATCATGTTGTCTTTTCAACCCATTCTTGCTCGGTGGGGCTGCACAGAACATTTAGTTGTTACTTCTGACAACGAGTAGGAGGACTGAGGTGATTTTAACGAGGTTCAGGCCGCGTCGACATGTGATCCAAACAGAAACGCAGAGATCTGAGTAGACGTATTTGAGTGTGAGCAGCATCCTGTATGGGCATTTTGACGTGTGTGTGTTCTGTCTATCATAGATAAGACTCAGCAGGGAGAAGCTGAGGTCCAGGAGAGCTGCTGTCAGCCGGTGGCTCATGGATACCTCACACAGAATGGGTTCGAGTGTTTGCCAGCTTCACAGGAATCATGCCACATATTTCTAAGTCTCCCTGGGTCGTCATAAAGCCGGCTGTAGTCCAAGGGTTAAACCCGGCCATAGCAGCAGAGTGTGTGTTGATGTCAGAGCAGAGTGTGTGTCCGTGGAGCTTTTTGTTGCCGCAAAGCTCATTCCCAACATGGTCTGTGTGTCTGTTCCTGATAAGGAAATCAATAGGAGTGGACAGCTCTGCTGTATGTGTCAGATTCCTGGAAGCCCAGCGATGCCCTGAACTCCCACCGGCTGCCAAAATAACACAACCTCCAATTTACAACTATAACCGCCTGGAATATGTCGGACCTCCGAGTGAGGAGTTTTACTCGGAAATGAGATGTCAAACGTTTGAAAAGAAACACAAAAGAGACGTCAAACATTCACGGAAATGCGAGCTCTGCTTTCAAGGGATTGTCTGTTTCTCGCTCAAGATTAAAAAAAAAAACATCTTGTAAATAAGATGAAGCAGGTTTTAAAGAAAAGAGTCCGTATGACTTCTAGTTCTGATGCCTTTTTTATTAACAGTTATTTGGATAGACAGCTCTATTGACTAAGGTTATACGTTGCAGTGGCGGCTGTTGGAGTTTTCTTCAGGGGAGGGGGCTTTAAATTCAAAATAGATTTATACCAAAAACTAATCAAATGCATAATAAGTTATCACACCAGTGTATTTATATGAATGCCAACAACAAAATAATACATTATAAAAACATAGAAACATAATTTCATGTAGAGGTTTACTTTTTCTACATAAATCTTGCCCTTCTGAGGCTTTGTGAAGCCAAATCTGTGTTTTTCATCGGCCAATATTGTGTCACAAACCTAAAAAAAATAATGTACCAGTTTAATAATGGGGAAGCTATTAGTCAGCTTTATATTTTTTTAATATATAAAACTCTCTATTTTCTTAGAATGTGTTTATTTAAGAGCAACGATGTAACATACAAAGTAAACTATATTATATTATTTTCCATGTGAATCCCAGATTGCTCATTCTTCT